TGCAACAAACTGCTGTAAGAGTATAACCAGGAAGCGCGGTAGGAGGGCAAAATAAGTTTAGCGGCACCGCAGCATGGGAGCTAGAATTGCGTCCAGGAGCAAATGGATAAAAATAGACCGGAGGGAAAAAAAAAACATTAATCGATTATCTTGCGGACGTGTCGATGCATCGGATCGTCGGCTTTTGGATCGATGCATCGATACAAAACGATTATTATTTACACCCCTACTTCCCTCGCAGCAAGAATGTTCTGGGTTCAATGCCCGGCCCGGGGGCCTTTCTGCATGCAGTTTGCATGTTCTCCCTGAGCATGTGTGGGTTCTCTCCGGGTACTCCAGCTTCCTCCCACAGTCCAAAAACATGACTGTTATGTTAGTTGGCTTCTCTAAATTCTCCTTAGGTGTGAGTGTGTGTGAATGGTTGTTTGTCTCTGTGTTGCCCTGTTATGGACTGGCGACCTGTCTAGGGTGTACCCCGCCTCTCGACACCTGGAGATAGGCACCAGCACCCCTCGCGACCCCAGAAGTGATAAGCGTAACCAAAATGGATGGATGGATGGGTTAATGTCTTACTTCCAGGAAATGGCTTATTATATTTTAAAACAGATACTTCCACACATAAAATAGGTCTTCAATACAAATCCTTGCTTGCATCTGAGATTTAATTTTAGGTCTATAATGGATGATATACATGTTCAACAGTCAATATATCACTTTTAGATGATGGTTCATAGATGTCTTAAAATGCCAATCTCTCAAAGCCCTATATCAGCTTCTATAATAACGCTAGCACATACTGTACGTGAGGCTTAGTTTCATGCCTCGGTCACATGACAAGATGTTTACAATTGCCGGTTTATTTTTACAACTTGGGAGACAACATGTAAGATGACAAAGATAGATATAACAGGCTTAGTCCTAGAGTATGTGGTGTACATCTACATACAGAAAGTACTAGTAATAGTTTCTTAGTATTTCCTGAATGTCATTAAATAGACTGGATGCTTATTTATCTTTAAGGAAAACACCACATGCTAGGATAATTTCCAAAGACAAGATAGGGGTGGTCCAGACATACTTCAGAGCAAATTACATCAGTTTAAGCGCACCAAACACTGCAGGAACATGCAAGAGTCCTTAATACTGTAGGAAGGGGAGGATTGGGCCAGAAATTGGACCATTATCTTGCCCTGTGAACCACACTATTAGTTGTGAGTTCTTCCAACCATTAAATGGATCATAAAAATCCCCACATATAAATGTCGGTGCACAACACTTTTTTAAATTCCCTGCACCAGCTAAGTGTGCTACTATGCAAATACTTGCACATCCATGAACAGGAAAACATTTAAGATTTGGTTTAAGAGATATATTTTATGACGGAGAATTAGGGCCAGGCTAGAGATTTTTTTCTCTTCTATTTCAAGAATAAAGTCTCAACATTACAAGAATAAAGTCATATAATTACGAGAATAGAGTTGTAAAATTATGAGAATAAAGTCGTAACATTACGAGGAAAAAGTCGTAACATTAAGAGAATAAAGTCGTAAAATTACAGGAATAAAATCGTAACATTACAAGAATAAAGTCGTAAAATTACGAGAATAAAGTCGTAATATTATGAGAAAAAAGTCACAATGAGAATAGTCATAAAAATTACGAGAATAAAATCAAAACATTACAAGAATAAAGTCGTAAAATTACGAGAATAAAGTCGTAACATTACGAGAATAAAGTCTTAAAATCACAGGAATAAAGTCGTAATATTATAAGAAAAAAGTCACAACGAGAATAGTCATAAAATTACGAGAATAAAGTAGCAAAATTACGAGAATAAAGTTGTAAACTTACAAGAATAAAGTCGTAACATTACAAGAATAAAGTCGTAAAATTACAAGAATACCGTAAATTCTCTAATATAGGCCCGGGCCTTTATTTCACTCAAGTGCATCGCGGTCCAGGCCTTTATTGGATAGAGGCCAGAATTAGAGACAGGCCTCTATTGCTATTTGAGCAAAACAGACTACCAGTGGAATGAATAAAAATGAGATTTTGTGTCTATTTGAACCTATAAAACACTAGGTTCATTTATTGAAAAAGTACAGTTACCATGTCTCGCTTGGTTTGAAGTAAAAAAAAAAAAATCCTCGCGCTCCTCCTCATGTTCTGCTGCGTGTCTGTTCTCTTCCTCGCGCAGACGGGCAGCAGTCAGGGCCTGTCGTCCAGCTGCGCAGGGCTGTGGTACTTGTATGTTACTACCACAAGTATAATGTTGAGGTATGCCCAGAAAAAACGTTTATAGCCCCGGCCTGTATTAGAGACCGGCCATTATTTACCTCCTCTGACAGCGAGACCGGCCAATGTTAGAGTCCCGGCCGCTATTGGAATACAGGCCAATATTAGAGAATTTACGGTAATTTAATATTATGAGAAAAAAGTCACAACGAGAATAGTCATAAAATTACGAGAATAAAATCGTAACATTACGAGAATAAAGTCGTAAAATTACGAGAATAAAGTTGTAACATCACAAGGATAAAGTCGTAACACTACGCGAATAAAGTCCTAAAATCACAGGAATAAAGTCGTAATATTATGAGAAAAAAGTCACAACAAGAATAGTCATAAAATTACGAGAATAACGTCGTAAAATTACGAGAATTAAGTTGTAAAATTACGAGAATAAAATCGTAACATTACAAGAAATAAGTCGTAAAATTACAAGAATGAAGTCGTAACGTTACGAGGATAAAGTCATAACATTACGAGAATCAAGTCAGAAAATTACGAGAATAGAGTTGTAATATTACGAGAAAAAAGTCACAACAAGAATAGTCATAAAATTACGAGAATAAAGTCGTAAAATTACGAGAATAAAGTTGTATTTAATGACAACTCCTACAAGAAGCACTTTCTTCTCTAAAATGAGGAATGTCGAGTATCATGTGAAGTTATACTTGGCTCTAGTTTGACAAATAAGAAAATCTTTTAGCACACCAGCATCAAATTGGGCAGTAGGTCAAAGTGAACTCAGATTGCCGTTTGCTGTTGCTGGTCAGCTGTCATATGCTTGTTGGAGCTTGAAGCTTTCTTTCTGAAATGGGTTGTGGTATGATGACTTCATTCTTGCAATAATACGACTTTATTCTCGTAATTTTACGGCTTTATTCTCTAAATAAAAGAAAAACTATTTTCTCTAGCATCGCCCTAATGTTCCGTCATAATATTTATCCCTGTCATCAGTAGGCCTATCATAGTTTCTTTAGTTTATGAACAAAATACAATCATTTACAGCAGTATTGGTTTTGCAGTGTAATGTTTACATTGAGTTAGTACACATCTGTACAGAAATTATCAATCATGAACGGAGAATATTCTGAACCCAGTGACCTATGTATTTTCTCGCATAGTTAAATAAAGTACTGGTCTTTACAATATTCGCTACTTAATTCATCTCTCTGCATGGTGTTTACTTTGAGGTTTTTTAGGTTGAAGAGTGGTTAGTGACTTTTACAGGCTTGTCACACAGCTTATGCTCTTGAGTGTTACTCAAAATGGTTCAGAGTTTTATTAGAAGTTTTATTGCATGAGGTGAGCCCTGCATCACCTCAATAGTTGATTTACTACAATAACAATGCACCAACAGAATGGGGCCTCACAATGCATGCATGCGAAATGGACATAAATAGGCTTAATGGGGATTTCTGTGTCTTTTATGCAGGGCATTTGGAATTTGAAACATGCAAACAAAAGGGGGAAGTCAGAGTTATAAAGCTCTAAAGGACATGGCTTTTTCTAGACAATGAGTCGACTTACATGGCATCTAATTATTGATCTCCAGACCACCTAATCTGCAGCCAGATGAACAAAACGCATTGCTCGTGGGGGGAAAAAGAGAGACAGCAAAGGCCTTTTTCGTGCACACAGACACTGAGTTGGACGTTAAAACACTCTGGCACACGGACATTGTGAATGCAAACGTGTCAACATCTGCAACTCATCAGTGGCGTTCTCTCCAAAAAAAAAAAAAAACACGCGCTCACTACACTCCCCCCCACGCGTGGCTGTGGACCTCTATATACAAAGGCTCACGGCCCACGGAACGCTTGTCTTTATTGTGATATTTAAAAAAAAAATGCAAGAGGGGTGTGTGGGGTGGAGGTAGATGAGGCGCAGAGAGAAGACTGAACCCTGTGCGCATCTGGAGCGCCCTGTCCCATCCAGATGCGCAGAGGAGGCTGCAGGCTGCTCACAACCACAAGCAACTACAATAATAAAAATAAACGCGCAGCATCTCACCCATTTATGTGCCCCGGTGTGCTGCTGTTTCTCTTGCAGGACTGTGGGCGATAGTCTCAGGTGTTACAGGCGGATTTTATCCGGACCGAGCCCCCCCCTTGACAGTCTCCCGTCCGTGTTTGCAGAGATCCGCTACTAAACGGGAGGAGCGTCACACCAAACCATATTCCTTCCTCTTTTTTTCTTTTTTTCAAGCCAATGACACGGAAGAGGAGGAGGAGGAACAACGAGCGGCCAGAAAACGGAAAAAGCGCTGATGAGCAAACCCCTTTCTCTCCCCTCGCTCTCTATCTCCTGTGTTACCTTCGCGTACGCCTCGTAAATTCCAGCTGCTAGCGGTGAGTTTTCGTTTTCGTAAATGCCGTGGGATGCAGGAGGGAAGGTGTGACGTCATCTTCGCAGCACAGATGGTGGGTGACATAAATGTGTTTTAGACCAGGAAATCCCATTGGTCCTAATCAGCTGAAGTTTTTTTTTTTTTTTTTTTTTTAGAAACCGAAATAGACAAATATTGAAATTGGTAAGCTTTGTGTATCAATTTACTATTTCCCTAGTTGGATACAGCACTGTTGCATATTTTGTAAATATTTTTCATAAAGCACCTTTACTACCCAGCAAGGATGCTTTTCCATAAAACAAGAGTAACAAAAATTATAGGCTATAAAAATTCAAATCTGTTATAAAAAATACAATAAATAAAGAGCTAAATAAAGCCAGTTGAAATAAATGCAATTGTTTTGATGATGCTGAAAAGACACTAGGGTCAGAAGTGTCTAAAGCAGGGGTCTTGAATGTTTTCCAGGCCAAGGACCTCCAAACTGATGGTGAGATGGAGCGGGGACCCCCTAATTATATATATTGTATGAAATTGTGTTATATCAAACTGGTCCTAAAGTCACTTTATTACATATGGAGTCATGTAATGAAAGTAATTTCACACTGGGAAAATTTAAGTATTTCTGATTGTGATTCCTTGTTAATGGGATAGGTGTTGTGAATGAAACGGCGCCCAGCTTGAAAGAGCTCCTGAATGTGTGCATCGATGACTGAAAGACATCTTCTGCCTCCATTTATCTGTTTACTACAGTGTGTTGAATTCATGTTAATGTATATTTAAAGACATTTCAATTCGTGGAAAAAATTGCAGGGGGGAATAAAAAAACAAAGTCTAATCAACCAAAACTTTGCGAACCCCATGGAGTACCTTCGAGGACCCCCAAGGGGTCACGGACCCCTGTTGAAGACCTCTGGTCTAAAGTATTAAGAGTATTTAAAGCACAAATACCTTTGTAAAAAAATTATCTATTAAAAGTAAAAGTACAGAATGAAGTATTTTACTAAAGTACAAGTAAAAAAGCAAAGGTTAAACATGTCACTTAAGTACAATTTTTTTTTTTAATGATGCAAAATAACTTTTAAAAGCTATTCTTAAAAAAAACAAATGATCAATGATCAGAAAATTATTTTCCTTTGTTGGCTGTGTTGGCAAAACTGTCTAATTTTGCTCTAAATCGTTATTTTTCTTCCTGACAGGATGCTATATTAAACTGAAAAGGAGTCCTGCATAAGCAGTTAAATACTTGTAGTACAAACTGTGCTCCATCTGGACAGACTGCAGCTGTTACTTCATGTCATTTAATGTGGACAGAAAGTTACAAGTCAGAGTTTGAGAAAGTAAGGAGTAGAAAGTACAGATAATTGTGTTGAAATGTACTGAGCAAAAGTAATAAATTATCTTAATATTGCACAGTAATGAAAATATTTATATTTTCATTACTGTGCACTTATACTTGGTTACTTTGCACCTCTGAGCAGGGATAAACATTATTAATATAGGAGGCATAGACACTATAATATTGATAAGGAAATTAACTATATGGTTGTAATTAAATTAATCCTCATTCAATCAAATTAAATCAATAAATAAATGGAAGTAACTGAAGCAATCAATTTATTAATATAAAAATAAATACATTTTCAGACAAAAGGTATATGAGCAAAGTAAAGTTTGATAAAAACATAAAATGAAAGGAAATTAAATAATTCATGATAAATATAAAGCCAAATTGGAGGTGTAAAGAGAAGTAATGAATTCAAAATAAACTTAGAATAAATAAATAGGTGCAGGCTGTTTTTAGTCTTATGAGGCAGAGCGGTTGTATAATAATATTGCTCTCTTACTGAAGGAAGTAGTGACCAGGGGTTAGTGGCAAACAGTTAATACTGGCAAATGTTAAGTGACTGAATAAATGGATAAATGTCACATCGAAGCTTCCCCTCCTCTCTCTTTTTAATAAAATGTGTTTCAGTAATGGCAAATTTGGAGATGAAGCTATTACATTTGAATTTGTCACAAAATTTGAATTAAACGATGTAAAGTTGATTAATTTAACTGCAGTAAAGCAGTATATACATGTCACTGTAAAAATGGTTAACTTTAACATTTGCACTTCCACAATTCAAAAGGGGAAATCTGTAGACAAAAGAACTGACAGTCATGCAAATCAACCTTTATGGCAGCAGGATTGATGAGTTGTTGAAAGTAAGCCAAAACAAAATGTACTGCAGCACTAATTATTGTAGCTGTCCTTTTATGTTTATCTTCTGATCAGCGCTGTTATTGTCGAGTTTGCAAACCTATAAAAGGAAAGAAGAGTCATAAGCTGCACATAGTTTCTGTTCTCTGTTTCTATGTATGCAATTCTATATATGCAATGTGTTGCCTAGAAATAGAATATATTACATTAAACTTTGTACACTAAAACATGAGTTTTCGTTCTGAAAGATTATGAGAATTTAAATGTGAAATCTAATTGATACAAACAGAAATAGGAGATTTTTTGTTGTAATAAACTTTTAATTTAGATTTTTTTTTTCCTGTATGTGTTTTCAGGTTCTTTCAATATAATAATATTGTTGTTTAGCTCAATACTTTAAAATGTGCTCCAACCGAATCTAATAAATTAAAATATATTCAAGCAGCCTAATTAGTGGGCTGATTTTTTACATTCCCCATAATTTATTGGATAGACTTCTGTTAGACTTTACATTAGTATACAAAAGCTAAAGTATATATAGCCTAATAAATTATCTACTTTTGAAATGTGGACATCAATAAAAAAAAAGTTCATCTAAATAGTTAAATCTGTGATGTATTTATTGTTTTACTGCAAAATAAACCAGGAAGCAGATGTTCAACATGATCTGTTATATCTACCATTCAGCCGGACACAGAAAATATTGGTATTTCCCATAGTCTTTGAATGTTTCACAGCAGGGGACCAACGCGTCACACCTGGGTGGACCAAATATCGCGATATAAAGTTCACCAAACTCTTCTATTACAGTAAAGGAATTCCACCACATTCCAGAGCAAAAATTATTTATAAAATTTGGATTTTAAACATGTTGAAATATGGAGAAAAATATATTTCAGCTCTCATAGCCACTGACATGAATGCTTATTATCACAAACAAAAGCTTAATACCATACCACCTAACACAAAATGTTCCATTAAAAATGTACATATAGAGAAAATTAGCAGCACATATCTGGATCATAATAATTTATAATGATAGTACAGAAGATAGTAATTAACAGACTGAGGAGGGATTTAATATCACCAATTTTCTTCTACCTCTTGTTTCTTGCATTTTAAATAGATTTCTGTTAACTTTGCTTATTCCAAGCCCTTCATAATTTACTGCAAGAAATAAAAGGGCTGCAATTTTAAGAGGTAGTCTTTTTAGGGCAACACCCAAATGAAGAGAAAATAATTAACCGATTATTATTAAGACTTTACATATAATTTAGGGTAAATGCTATATTGCTATATATAGATTGTCCTGCATTTATCAAAAGTTTAAACTGAACTTCATTGACCTGTAGATTTTTGTAATTTATTTTTAAATTAAATGTATTGCTTTGTAATAGCAGGGACATCCCAAGTGAAGTGTAGCTTACTTGAATGCAAATCTGCTTGCATGATTCTCTTTTCATTCCAAACATATATTAAATCATTCCCACACACATGGTAAGTTTTTCTAAGCACATGCTGATGCACAGCTGTTCTATTTTTCTTTCAGGGAGAAGAATTTGCTGGCGGCAGCAGAAAGAGGGTGATTAAATGATTCAGCGGTAAAAAGGACAAAGAGATTAGGAAATAGGGGTTTTTGTTCGGCTCTTCTGTGTCTGCTGCTCCAAGATGCTGCATGGGCGACAAATGAAATCTGATAAGATGAAGTTGGAGCTACTTAGAAGATTTTAAGATATATTTGTGACATTGAAGCAAAACGTTTCTGACCTGAGAGGGAATTTTGTGAACAGAGAAGTTGGAACTGGGAATGTGATATAATGATTTTTTTCCCCTCTTTTCTAAAAAAGCTTGTTCAGGTCTTTGGTCACTTTTTCAAGAAAGCTCACAAATAAACAGATACGAGACAAACACAGAAATAAAAGAAAGCCTTATGGCACTAAAATTGCACTAATCTATACTTATTTAGGCAAACTTTTACTGTTCTAATTATTTGTAAAATTCTGTTTGAGGGGTAAAAATCAATTGTTCCCTCTGAGCAATGCTTATAATACATTTTTACATTATTAAGAAATTAATTCAATCACATCATTGATTGATTTTCAAATGATTCAATCAAGTAAAAAGATAAATAGATAACTAAACATTCAAATTGTACATAAACATAACAAGGAACATACACAGCAAAGGTTTTCTGAATAAGAAATAAATGCTCAAAATATATTATAAGGCAATAAATACAATAATGATTAATATAATAATATATAATAATAGAATATACCTTCACTTTTTGTCCGATTTCTGCTTTCATGATAAAGAAAGGGTTTGGTATTCCTGGATGTATGGAGGGTGACAAGTGCCACAATACAATAAATAAATATTTCATGGAACTATCAAATTAATGAATTAGTTTATTAAAAATCGGAAATATATACTTTAACTAATAAATATATTATTAATAGTGCAACACTCCATTAGATTTATTGATTTTAGCTTGGGGATAAACCAAGATAATTCGAAAGCCCTCAGATCACTTCTTGAAATCCCTTTTAAAAAATAAAACAAAACAAAAAAAAACTTAAATTCGTAGTAATTTGTGTTGTACCATAAGTTCAGCATCTAATGAAATATGAAAGACTGGAAATCAAAATAGCAAAGAAAAATCTAAAAGCATGTGAAGCGATTTAACTCACCTCTTCCCATATTTCCTCTTCCTCATACAGACGCCCGTCTGCGCTGCTCCT